ATTTCCAGAAGGATTAGGTCTTACTGGAAAAATCTCACAAATGGGTGAAGCACTACCACCAAATCAGAATTCTCCTCTTTGATTCATAATGAGTACAGGAGGTTGCAAAGAAAGCAGTGAAACACGAAGTGCTGTTCATTGACTTTAAAAACTCTGTCACGATTGTGACAACAACAGTACTTTATAAACTTCATCACAGTAATCATTTCTGAAGAGTGTACTGAACAGCGTGGGACGAAAGAAGGATGGGAAAGGACAGTCCAGTAAGGAGACATGTTCTCACTCGTCTTACTCGCCCACAGATATTAGGCTAACAAGATATGTGACAACAATGGAAGTAGCCTGAGACAGACAGATTTTAAAAAGCATTAAACTGAAAAGACGAAACCAAAAGCAAACTAAACCGAAAAAACAAAACCAGAGCAATTGCACGGGATGGAGGTGCTTCCACCTCATACAGAGAAATCTAAGCTATTGATCTCAAAACAATTTGTGAAACATTTATAATCAAGCAATACAGGAAGTTCCTTCCAAGAACAGGGAATATAGTGTAAGCTCTCAGTAACTATGGTATTGGTAGATTCAAGTCACACCAAGCAACTGATACTAAAAAAACCAAATCCAAACCAAAAATCATCACATGAAAAAAAACAAGACATTCCCGAACACCCCAGTTCTCCATTTTCCCCTTAGTACACTTATATTAAATATCTCATAGATCAAAGAAAGTTAGCAGAATAATGCTCATCTAGTACAGAATGTTTCGTCATTTTTTTCCAACAGTATATGAAGATGTCCAAGATTTAAAAGTATTACTTTTCTAACTACATTGTGCCTAAAAGAGCAGAGAAATAAGAAAATTCATTTTATAGAGTAATTTCTACACTGCAATGCTAACAATCAAATTTTTTAGCAGCGCAGTAAGTTTGGAGAATGTATCAGACTATAAACGACACCAAATGCCATTGAAAGCACTTATGACCCCACTTTCTTTGTGGGGTCCTTTGTACTAAGTGTATATTCATTCTGTAACATAATTACGATCTGGAGAATTCAGAGACTTACATTTATACAATTTTATAGTCTTTCATGGGACCATTTAAAGGAACTACCAGACAAAAATACAAAGTGAGTATCTCTTCTGTTTTTAATCACACTCTATAAAACTAACAAGTTATGGATTGTAAGGCAGTTAAATAAAGAAATTAGAATGAGTGCAAAATACTGAGGCCCTTCTAGAAAACTGATTCTAATAAACATGAATACGAGTTAAATACTTTCAATACTGCACATACTAAGAATTCCTTCCTACATTACAGAAAAACACATATAGGCTAATGCTAACATTGAATGACTTTTACACAGATGAAAACATCACTACAACAACAGGACAAAACATGAGCTTTGAAAAAGGAAAACAAAGACAAAACTAACACTGACAAAGAAAGGCATAAGATGAAAAATACCAGGTTAGATCTTGCAGTGTAGTATATTTCTTCTGAATTGTCCAAAAAATCGCTACTGTCAGGCTGTTCATTAGATAGAGATCAAGAAACTCAAGTTATTGACATTGTGACGGAAAGCCAGTTATACACAATGGAAAATTTTCTTGCTTAAAAAAAAAAAAGTTGTTAGTTGAAACTCAAACCATGTTAAGACAGTTCTGGGGATAGGGAAAAACCACAACTAAAGATACAGTCACATTACTGTACACTACCAAATCACACCAAAACAATGAATTACTGTTCATCACGTGCGCTGTGGTAACAAGCGACAAACAGCCTCAGCAAGAGGCACTATGTACCAGTTCAACATCTCGGTGCACCAGCACCAATAACTCATCCTGCTGCAGTGGCACAGTCCTTCGGCTTGCACACTTAGACCAGAAGTAAGTAAACATAAAGTCTAAGCATGCTTTAGTAAGACAGAAGCAAAAGGGTCAGAAGAGCTGCTTTAACGACAAGCGACCCACACTGTTATTGCTGGAGGATTGCAGGCATCTCTTGCTCCTGCTTCCATTTAAAAGCCTTTCTCACCCAGAGCATTTGGGTGTTACAAACTTCTCCCTCAGCCTGCTCTGTGCTAAGGCTCTTTGCTAGAGCATCCATTCTCTGGATAGATCTCGTTTGCATTTGGCATGTCAATTTAAATTGTCCATTGGTTCTATATCTAATGACAAAACTAATTACAAAATATGGTTTTTCTTTGGTCTCTAGACCAAATATCATCATTTTCAAAATCATAGTTCTGTTTTATCTGAAAAGGACAGATCAGGTCTGCACGCTTCGTTCTGATATAAGCAGTTAATTTCTCTCTTCAGAAAGATCCAAGCAAGTACAGATCTTCTTTATAGACAGAGAGATGAGGCAAGTACTTTGGACAGATTTCAAATATGCAAACTCTGACAGGAATAGAATATACGAAGAGATTTCCTTATCAGAAGAATTAATCTGGATTGTTCAAGTCTCTTCTTGGAGCAGCAAGAGCTTCTGAGACTCCAAAGTGCAAAAGTCCTGATTCCTAACCCACAAGGTAGGAAAAGGCTCAATTCCTCCCTTCCGAAAACACATGTCAAAGAACTCTTCTCAAAAGTTGTGCTTTAATCCCTGCAGAAAATATCTTTCCCCAGTTTAGCAACTCGAGTTCCTATGGTGCAATGAAAACATCTCTTTTTGCAATTATAATTCTGTGTGTGTATAAATAAGTAAAATTTTTAAGGACCAAAAGCATTATAATTTGAACTATATAATGCTACCAATTGTATTTTCTTTATAATCCAGACAACGACACAGGGAACCAAACCCAGGACAACTTGGTATAAGTTCAAAAATAATTTTGAGTTAACTGATGAGTTTATGGTAGAAGCACTGATTTCAATACCATATTTAAAAAACACCTGTATAACCAGGGCTTGGGGCCGGTGCTGTTTAACATCTTGTCGGTGACATGGACAGTGGGATCGAGTGCACCCTCAGCAAGTTTGCTGACAATACCAAGCTGTGTGGTGTTGTCGACACACTGGAGGAAAGAGATGCCATCCAGAGGGACCTTGAAAGGCTGGAGAGGTGGGCCTGTGAGAACCCCATGAAGTTCAACAAGGCCAAGGGCAAGGTCCTGCACATGGGTTGAGGCAATTCCGAGCACAAACACAGGCTGGGCGGAGAAGGACTTGGGGGTGTTGGTTGATGAGAAGCTCAACATGAGCCAACATGAGCCATGGTGCTTGCAGCCCAAAAAGCCAATGGTATCCTGGGCTGCATCCAAAGAAGTGCGGCCAGCAGGTCGAGGGAGGGGCTTCTACCCTTCTACTCTGCTCGTGAGACTCCACTGGGAGCACTGCATTCAGCTCTGGAGCCCCCAACCTAAGAAGGACATGGAGCTGCTGGAGCGGGTCCAGAGGAGGGCCACGAAGATGATCTGAGGGCTGGAGCCCCATTCCTGTGAAGACAGGCTGACAGACTTGGGGTTATTCAGCCTCGCGAAGAGAAGGCTCCGAGGAGACCTTCTAGCAGCTTTCCAGTACCTAAAGGGGCCCTACAGGAATGCTGCAGAGGGACTTTTTACAAGGGCATAGGACAAGGGGCAATGGCTTTAAACTGAAAGAGGGGAGATTTAGATTAGATACAAGGAAGAAATTTTTTACAATGAGGGTGGTGAAACACTGAAACGGTTTGCCCAGAAAAGTTGTGGCTGCCCCATCCCTGGAAGTGTTTAATGTCAGGTTGGATGAGGTTTTGAGCAATCCGATCTCGTGGAAGGTGTCCCTGCCTGTAGCAGGAATTAGATGATCTTTGAGGTCCCTTCCAACCCAAACCATTCTATGATTCTATGACATTGTTATGCAGATATGTAAAGGTCTAAACAACATATCTGAACTAATTGCCCAAGTCCTGCATATGATTTGATAAGCTATTCTCCATTTTGAACAGGCAGCAGAAACTGCAGACTACCTGTCCAGCCAGTTGCTGAGGAAGAGTAAGATTACATACAATCTCATACACTCTTGAGCCAGCGGACCCACTACCAAAGGACATGGCACTGGGAAGGAGATTTTAGTACAAATACAGAGCAATACAAGGAAACTGCATCAGAAATCCCACTCATATGTGGTTTGTAGACTATAGAAGAGGAAGTACATTTTTAAGTACACATCCTTCCCAAAACCAACTCGGACCAAAGCCAATGTCCCTCCCACCTATGTACTAAGCCAACTTGTTCACCTTAACATCTACCTTAGAGAAACAAAGGGAAAACAGAAGTCTGCAGTAAGGTAGCAAAGGAGTGTCTTTTTTATTCGGGAATGTGAAGAAACTGCCCAAGTGCACAAATGTGGAAAGCAACAGCCTCCATAGAAGAGAGGTAACTGCTGCAGTCGTGTGTGTGAGACAGCACAGATGCCTTTTCTCTCACTGCTTGAGTTCTCATATGCCTTGTACTGACAGGTCCAGAGGAAGAAAACATTGGCAACACACCTTTAAAGAATACATCAACTGCCAGACTCAGTGTGGCTCAGGTGTGATGCAAGGCCACAGAAATATTGTTTGCATGGTTAAAACCACCCCTCAAAAATTGAATTTTTTAAAATGCATCATACCTCTTTCCCAGGCTCTCAACTTTATTATTTCCATTATCAATCAATGTCAATACAAGCACAAGGGAGAGAAACATTATAGTACACACAGTATGAATTAAAAAAATAACTCTTTATAAAGGGAATGATATACTTGGCAATAAGGTATAAAGGATAGGGGAAACCCACAAGAAAAAGGGCTGTTGCTTAGCACATACATCACACTCGGCAGAGCCCACAAATAGGGGGGTTTGCTGCATATAGTGTAATGGCACCAAAAATTTTAGGACGAGTATGTTATGACTTCTCAGAAAAACTGCAACCAGGTTTAGTAATAAGGAAGTATGCTACACATCTTGGATTTCTCCTTCTCCACAAATATTTGCAGGGAATAATGTGCAGAGCATAGCCCACGCTGCTTGTTACTCACAAATTCATGATGTGGCTCTGTCTCTTTCCTCAAGGGTGGATCAAATTTTACTTGACCAACTAAAGAGGAGAAAAGGAAAACAAGAATTTAAGTTGTACTCTAATTAGACAAAATTTAGCTCCAAAGGCTAACAAAAAAAAAAGAAAAAATCCATTTTAATGACTGTATCATATCCCCACTAATGGAAACTTCTGACACATGCACCACGTATGGAACTTGTGCCTGCTAGAAACTAATGGGCACAGAAAGTACTCTGCTACCACAAAGACAGAACAATCACCATTTGCCCCATCTACTCAGTAGAAAGATCAGGAAAATGATTCAGTGAATAGGGCAGTGAAGTGCCCTCTCTAGAGAAGCAATACAGTTGTAATTTATAGAAAAAACACATCCACTGTGTGAATTCACTCTTGGATTTGTTCCTATGGGAGATTCACTAGCACTAAAGAGCCCTGAATGAAGTTTGGAGAGGACTAATCATATCTTCTAGCGCAGCTCTTTGGCAGATACTTTAACACTCCTCCTCTCAATTTTAGCACAAGACAAGACAACTAAAGCTGCAAACATTGCTCTGATTTAGTTCAAGTAAAAGAATGAACACAACTTGGGAGATAATGTCTGCTTTCAATGGCCACTGATTAACCTCCTCCTTTCCTGATTTCTAAGTGACTATTTCAATTCAAAAGCAAAAACTGCAACAAGGTACTAAATTAAGGAAGAAAAATATTTCTCTGTCATTCTGTTACTCAGCAAAATCTGGCACCACTCTGAATATCCTTGCTGGAGTGGCACATAAGGCTATACCAGTCAGCTCTCAGAAGAGTTCAGGTAGCATCCTGTTCAATGAAGATGAAGCCATAGTAAGATTTGCCAAAGTGCTGGCATTGAGTGTATTTAAATATTTTACACTAATATATCTTTCGCACAGTCATCTAGAACCTATAGCCATAAGTGAAACAGCCTAAGTTTTTATTTCCCTATATATCACTAGAAACATTTCTATGTCTGATACCCAGAATACCAGTTGAAATAAGTGAACATCAATGATTATTTTAAGAATATTTCATGTTGTCATATTATACATGCTTACAGTTTATTTCAGAGCGTGTCTTTTCTTCTCTCACATTTCTACTTGTTGAATGAATTCTATGAGGCACTACAAGAGGCTAGAAGAGAAAAATAAAATACTTCAATATCAAAACATACTCACTTGAAACCCCATATTGTGTACCTAGTTTTTAGCAGGTTTCTTTAGCATAATATCAAAAAGAAAGAAAACAAGTGGAAGCTAAAAATAAAGATTGCATGTATATTTTTGTACATCCAAGTTAGAATTATTTACAGACATTTTATCTGTAGAGTGTCTTCAAGATAAAAGTTTTTAAAACACTGGATTTGAGCAAATAAAGACAATGCTGGCCAGCGTTTGTCTGCTCAGGTAACATTTCCTTTTTGTGCCTTTCAGTTTAAGGGTACTGGTAGTTTCCAAAATAAGCAGTAAGACTAAATCTGACTTTCTGGAAGCATTTCCTTCATTTGGATATCCCAATCATCTTCCCAGCTCCTAACCTAAACTGATTCCTAAAAATTCATCAGTTAGTTTCTTTAAGTAGATCAGAAGTTAGCCTGAGGTTTTCAGAGCTGAATAGAAGAGAGTATTCCTGGTACTCTTGTGCTGTGTGGCAAGAGCAATGCCATCATTTCCACAAATTCATCTTCATGTTTGTTCCACTTCTACCTTTTCCCTGGATATCCATTTACTTCTCTACAGGATGAAGAGTCATGAACTTTAAGACTTTACTTTCTTTTCAACACCCCTGTTAGGTTTTCTGTCTTCTTTCTTCATCCACTACTGGAGACAGTTTCTCTTAGAAACTATAACTTAAGGTTTTCTAACATGCGTACAAGACCAGCTGACTGCTGTATACAATCAGGCCCCAAAATTACTAACATAAATCCCAACAGTGTGCTCTGAGCACCCTCTGCAATGAAATCTTACTCTTTAGAAAAAAAAAATTCTCCATGATGTTAGCCCAAGTAATCTCTGAATGTTTCTGTGTTGAATGTGGCAGTAAAACAATTTTTAATTAAAGCAATCTGACAAAAGAGCGTCAGAAATTTAATATGCTTGTATGTTAGCTTTGCTTTTATATGTACTAATTATAATCTGCACTTGCTAACTTTTGACTACAAAGCGACAACAGAGTCAGAGTACTTCAACTGCTCTACTATGAGAGTCACAAATAGCTCAGTAACTGTCTATCCCTGAAATACCATCTGAAAGCATTATTTCCCTTCTCTTCTGTTTATCGCACACTACTTCCTTGTTTTATATTAGGATCCAACACACATGTGCATATGGTTTCACCTCTCGTTTATGTTATCTTTAGTCTTTTTTGAAACTGGAGAAACATGCAGATTGTGAGTATGTATTTTCTCCCATGTATCTCACAGGCAGTTTTTCGTTTCTTGTAACTTACGCCAATTCTCCCCTTCCGCAGTTCTGGTTTGTCTATCGTGCACTCTTTTGAGGTTTAAAAACAGTTTGCTATAGTTCAGGATGTGTTTCAAGGTTTGATCTGGTTTTCTACTTCAGTATTTTAAACACTCAAAGCTATAAAACGTTGCAATTATTATAATGAATAATTCTTCATTATGCTTGCACATGATGTGTGTGCATCTGTAATGCCAGCATCAAGAGCCCAACTGTAGTGGAGGTACTTTTGCCTTTGCAGCGATATTGTGCGAGTTCCTTGCATCCTGCCACAGATGTTTGTGCTGCACACCAGGCAAAGCCTGCCCTACCTTCTCCATGACCGCAGAATTACGGGAAGGAGTCAAATCCTCATCTCTCAGTCATGAGGACAAAGTCCTTGAGTCACCTTGTGTCCTGGGTTTGGCTGAGTTAACTTTTCACAGGAAAACTGGGAGGAGGCACTGTGGGGGCAGCTGACCCGAATGAGTCAGGGGGCTATTCTATACCGTATGACGTCATGCCCAGAGAATATATATTGGGGAAGCTAGCTGAGAGAGAGAGAGGGGCTTTTCACAATCTTTACAGATCGTGAGTGGGCTGGGCTTCCTGGTTCTGTGTGGTGAGCATTTGTACTGCTTGTTTTGTACTACTCTTTTCATTAATATTATCGTTTTTATTACATTTTTTTTTTTTTTTGCACTGTTCTATTAAACTGTCCTTATCCCAACTCATGAGCTCCCATTTTCTACTCCCATCCCATCGAGGGGGAGGAATGAGCGAGAGGCAGCGTGGTTGTTTAGCTACCAGCTGGGCTAAACCACGAGACCTTGAAAGACCTATGCTGACAACGAATTGATACAAACAGTTGACATCTGAGCTGTGCAAGAGGACAAAGGAATGTAGGTTAACTTCCCGACACAAATGCCATTTGGGCATTTCATCTCAAGAGCAATCTTATTGTCCTGGTTTTGCTGGGACAGAGTTAGCTCTTCTTTTTAGCAGCTAGAAGAGCTCTGTGTTTTGGTTTTACTCAGAGGCTCGCTCTGGGGAGAATGTTGATAGCGAGTTGATGTTTGTAGTTCGCCAAGGACTTTTCAGTGTGCCAGAGTGCAGAAGCACGGCGGGATAAGGGGGGAGCGTAGCTGGGACAAGGGGGCCACGATTCTCCTTGCGATTTGTGGTGGAACTTAAGATTGAGGGCCAAACTGGCCAATTAGTATTCCATATCATGCAGCATCATGCCCAGTATAAAAGTGAGGGACAGACGGAAAGAAGGGCTTTTTTTTTTTTGCGCTTTGGCTCTTTCACCGCTTCTGCGCTTTTGCTCTATTGCCTTTTTATTTTTTCTCTCTCTTCCAGTACTCCCACTCTCGGAGTACTATCTCTCTCAGCCCCTCTCTATTTCGGGGCCTCGCGTTCGTCCGGGATTCCAGCTTCGGGATGAGACGGGCTGCGGATAAGAGGGGGTGATGAGCACCTACACTGTGTATTACTTATCTGTATTAAATTGTTCTTATTTCAACCTACAGTTTTCCCATTTATCCTTTAATTCTCTCCCTCATTCCTGGCGGTGGGGGAGGGTGAATGACCAGCTGTGTGGGTTCGGTTGCTGGAGCGGCCTAACCCACGACATTTATCCCCGAAACTTACAGTGTGCTAAGGATAAAACTTGAGCACTTTCCTCTTTGCAATCTTTTCAGCTAATACCACATCTATCATGAGAGTCACTGTCACAGGCATGTGGTGAACAGTCAGTTGCCAACATCTCCAAAGGTTTATTCTTAAAGGAGTGAAAGCAGTGTCCCAAATGGAAATCCTGTATTTAACTAAATAGGAAACCAAATGAGGTCTTCCATGACTTGGGGTAGAGAAAAATACCCAAATTGTCAGTTACAGATATTGCTGCCAAATAAATAACACTGTATCAAGGGGAGACCTTTCTGATTATACCCAAACAACCTGATTGCATGTTTTCAGTTTTGTTTTTACACAGTAAACATTTCACCTTTGTCTGAGTTCAGAATGATTTAAAGATGTAGAACAGCACTCCTCAAAGAGGTGGCAAATTGACATCTTAATCTCTACCTTCCCCACACAACTCTGCAGACTATCCAAGCAGTAACAGATAATAGCCCCATAAAAGCAGCATGAGCCAGGTGAAGAGCTGTCATCACACTGAGCAGTAGACTTGCCTTCAAAGACCACTGATAGCCATAAAATCTCTCTAGCCTCCAAAAAAAAAAAAAACCCACACGAAACCAAAACCCCAAACCCCAACACCAAAAACCTCCAAGACACAAACATCACCACCTCACAGCCTCTCTTCCTCCCCCACATGCCCCAACTAACCAAAACTCAAAAAAAAAAAAAAAGAGGAGCAGGTCTGAAGCTCAAGATTCCTACCAGTGTTGCTTGTACCGTGCTATGTTGCTTCTTTCTATTTTTGATGGATGCATTCAGGTGATTGCCAAAAGTATAGGAGTGGTCAATCTCCAGGTTCAGATGAACATTTCCAGCTACCTCTGTGAGCAGGCAGGTATTTGAGCAAGTTCAACGATGTACAAAAGGAACACGAACACTACTTATTCCCTTCAGTTTATTATAGGAAAGACGACAATGCCAAGAACTGCTTTGCCTGTGGGCAGGATTCAAAACCAGGTAATACAGAAATACATGGAAGGTCTGAAACACAGACATTCCTCAAGATGCATTGAATAATTATCACTTGCTTTATTCACAGAGGTGGGTTCTAGACTTGCTTATTACAAAATAAAACGTTTTCCCAAGTGTCACTATCAATCTCATATTGTGGGTGGATTAAATGTCTGAATGGAAAATTATTTGGCAACTTGGTTAGGGGAGAAATGAGAAGAGACAGCTAAGTTGTCTATCCAATGAAAATCATCCAGCACCACAGGTAATGGTGTTTGAAGCTCAAGACCATGTGATGAACAATGATGAAGTATCATTGTGCCTAGCACAGAAGCCCACAAATGCAAAAGGAAATCCTCAGCAACTTAAGATAAAAAAAACAAATGAACTAACATCTGAAAAAATACCTATCATAAGACATGCAAGCAGCTTGCTTGTCCTCCATACTGTCAGCCAGTCTGGCTCCTTCATAAACAATGAAAATATGCATTTTCTCTTATCACTGCTGTGAGGCTGTTTTCTGTTCATTTTCTTCCCAGACAAGGCATATTTTTTTCCTCCGACATCACACTTCATTACAGGATAACTGATAAGTAATACACTAAACAACAGAAAAGCCTGCTTAATGCTAAGTCAGACGGGCCATAAAAAAACGAAAGCTATTTTGAAAGCTACAAATAACTGTCAATAAAACATGTACTGAAGTGACTCTGTACAGGAAGAGAAGAAAGATTGCCCACTTGAGTGCCCCAAAATGAAGGTCAAGATTCTCACCAAAAAGGTATACCAGTGAGATGGAGGAATGGCACATCAGGGCTTCCGTACAGTTTCTAGGAAAGCAGGGAAGACTCACAGGGCAAGCTACTCAGATCTAAGCAGCTCAACTCACAGGAAGCACGCTGAAAACAGCTACTTTTCTTCTTATGAGAACTCATGAAATCTCTGATTTCTACAGAAATATTGCTTTAACAGGCCTCAGAGCTCTCTCTTGCTGAACAGAGAACTAAAGGATCCTTGGAGCTTACTGTGAGAAGATAGAGTTCCTCAGTGCTGCCTCCATCAAGGAATCATACACTATTCTCTTAATACTGACATGAATGTCAACCACATTAATGGTCTTCTTGTGTTTAACTTCCCTAAATATTTTTTTTTTAACAGAAAAATTTACTAAGTGTGCTCCACTATTTACAATTGCTTTTAAAAGTACTAACTATTTGAGGCCCTGAGCAACCTGATCTAGTTAGAGATATCCCTGTTCCTTGCAGGGGGGTTGGACTAGATGACCTTTGAAGGTCCCTTCCAGCCCTAACGATTCTATGATTCTATGATTTAATCCTTAATGCCTTCCTCTCCTACCCTCCCATTTAGGAAATTTGTAAACACTGCACTCCACAATACAAAAGAGATCCATTTTACATTGGCTTCTTTTCACATTTATTCATTTCAGCTTCTAAGTAAGATAGACTTGGTGCATGTCAACTTGTCTTTGCCGTTCCAGAAGGTAAAAGCTCATTTGACTTGTAAAATCTGAAAATTAGTATCTTAAAGTAGTTGCTTCTTCTAAGTTTATTTTCCTTTGAAGGCATTTTTAGACTAGCTTATCCACACAAAAAGTAAAACAACAAGAATGCAATTAATGAATCAATGGCATTTCTGTCAAAAGGATTATTTTTTTTTTTCCCCAAAAAAGAGATCATCAGTTAGGGAACTGTAAACATTTGGAAAGTCTTCGTGCTTGACTGTATGTTAGTGAAGACAGGATGCACTAATAGACTATCTGTTTTCTTTTATTTATTAAAGACTTCAGTCCTGCACTGTTTAATCACCTTACACAACCATGCTATTTTTTTTCCCCAGTTGTTGAATTAGAAAGTCAGAAACTTTGCCTTTGACAAAACCGTAAGTGAAATCAAGTTTCGGAGTATTCTAAGACAAAAAATATAATCTGCAAGAAACACATAGCAAACCATTTGACAAAAAAAGCTACAGGATCATTTTCTTCTAATAAGAAAGTAAATTAGGAAGAAAAGAACATGTTCTATAGAGGTATAAAATGATTTTTAGGAATGCTTTGTTTGCAGATGAATGGAAACATAATTCCACAAAGAAACAGAAAGCAGAATGCATGACAGAACTCAGGATGGGAGTATTCCACCTTTACTGTTGCAAAATTGTTCAAGGACAACAATAAACAAATTTTTCAAGTGTTTACATCTCTTTCTCTTTGAGCTTCCCTCCCTCAGATGAAAGGAATTTTGGTAAGTGCCTGTACACGTGACAGAGCAGCACAACCAAAAGCAAAAGCAACCCTTGAGACTATTCCCAGATGACAAAATATTCTGTGGCTCAATAAATCATAATCATTTAGTTTTGTCAGCAAACAAAAACAATCTGATTCTATTATTAAAACATATTCCTACCTCAGGATCCTCATCATCAAAATCATGGTAAGTGGAATGATCAGGATTATTCATTTTATCCAGAAGTTCAATAGCAAGGCTTCGATTTAATGGCTGAGTAACAAAAGGATGCTGAAAGACAGAAGGGGCAAAAACAAAAATTCCAACCACTCACATTAAGCATATTTTAATTTTATAACTTAAAAAAATCCCATACATAAATTTATACCTGTAGTAACTTTTCAGCTGTAGGTCTTTTTTTAGGATTTTTTGTAAGTGCCATTTTCACAAAATGATGGAAACTATTGGACCTGTAAAATGAAGTGGTAAACATTACAATCAATTGCCCAGTGAAATACACGATTGTTATCTACTGAAACAAAAAAGTGCTTACCATTTCATTTTGTCCTTTAATTTAGGAGGCTGGAAGTTACTTTTCGTCATTAGAAAAAGTGCTCTGAAAAAAAAAAAACACAACAGTATTTCTGTGATTTACGTTGCAATACATATATGAGATGAGCTATTAAATACATTATTTAGTTGGCAGGAAGAAGTCCATCAGTTTAAAAGATGCTACCAGAACACCGTTACACACTTATGCACCAAAAAGAGCTGTTACAATTTCTATTCAGTTCGTTCAGAAAAGTTACAACCCGATACCCTTGCAGTACTCCCAGACACCACAAGCAGGCATAGCCACTACTCCAAACGGATTATTTGAGAAGCTGTACTTACACATCAGGCTTTAACCCTTTACTAACCTCATTGGATGTAGGTCAAACATTGGAGGCTGAAGTTCAGCAAGCTCTATAGCAGTTATTCCAACTGCCCACAGATCACAGAGTTGATTATAGCCACCTTTTCTTTCTACTGCAGCAACTTCGGGTGCCATCCTAAAGGGTAAAAGACATTTTTAGATAAACTTCTCACCATAAATCATTCTTCTGTATGCAGCAGTTTACTACTCTTTTCCCTAAAGCTCCCAATCTATGAGCGCACAGCATATACATTTGTATATGTGGATACATATACACGTCTCTGTGTAAAAGGTTATGTAATGTATACATGAAGTTTTCCTCAATCATCTTCTTGTAACTAAGAGGCAGTTCCCAAAACAGCTGTTTAGCAATAAAGTACATGAAACCAATCTGTCTCAGACTTTTTTTGCAGGCACATAACAAACTACCACTCAACAATTAAAGAGCCTAAGGTATAATTATTCAAATACAGTAAAATCTAAATAATATCCAAATTCACACATTGCCCCAGAAAGTGATCAACTGACTTTGAGTAGAAGAATATTCTAACAAAAAAAAGTAACAAAACGTCAGCTTTCTCATATCCTGAAAGCGTAAGACCTGAAGACTCATTGTCACCTCTGCACAGAGCACTCCTTGTTTGTAAATCCTGCCTCACTGTAATGTCAGAAGACCTCATTTAAGTTAACAAAATAATTTCACATCCTCCAGTGGCAAAAATTAACACGCATAACTAATACATAAATAGGAATACCTAAACGAAGTTATTCACTAGGCATTGTAACATGCTTTGAACGGCCAAAGTGAATTATGGATTTGATTGTCCTACATAGTCCTAATCAGATGGCAAACATGTTAATATTTTTTAGCTTTGAACGTTATTAGTCCAGATCATTTGAAAAGTAGCAGTGGAACTGGAGACGTAACTCAAACAGGTAAGACAGATGAATGTCACTGAATGAGTTCTCCAGTAAAGCAGTAAGCGGCATCTCAAATGATGCATTATTTAAACACACGTGTCCTTATCTGCAGATCTGAAAACATCATCGGGTTTGGTGGTACAGCTTATTACAAGTTTGCATAGTTAAACTATATTTACATATATTTCTTCAAGAGTTCATAAAACCCAAATCACTCTAAATCAAAAAGGAGGGAGTTAACTTCAGAAAGACATGGAGGAGGCGTACAAGGGTAAACAGCAGAGTTACTAGAACTAAAGACGCTGCACAGCAGTTTTGCCCTTCATTTCTCTCCCATCCAGTCCTTACCTGTCCAGACATCTCTAGTGATCACTAAAACCTTCACACTGCCTTTTTCTGACTAAATTTTTTTCTCCATGATCTCAGCAACTTTGCTTCCTTGCTTCTCCTCTCAAATCTCTGAGAAGCTTTGGCAAAGAAAAACATCATCATGCTTTTCATCAGCATTTAACCTATGTAATGCTTTCAACATTTTTGTTTAAGGTTATGACATGTTATTTGAGAAGCCTGGCACAATGTGGAAGTTACACAGCAGTACAGGCCGGGACTGAAGTCACCCAGACATCTTAGGAAAGAGAGGCACAAACCAATTACACAATCGTGACTGATGGATGTTTGTGTTACTCCAGAAGGGAAGTGAATCCATGCCTTGGTGTGACTTACACTGCAGAAGAATGCTAAAAATGCTGTACTTGACTATTTCAAGACTGAATAATTGAACATAGGATTTTATTCGTTATGTATGTTTTTATCTTGTAGCTGTCAGACAACAGAATTTTGAATACCCTTCTGGAAACACAGAACAAAAGTGCTATTTTACAGTGAAGAATGTGTCGTTTACTTTAAGCCGAAAAGGAACAACCACTTCCAGTAGGAAGGAAAGAAAGTAAAATGCTGAACTTTAGAAAAGATAAATCATGCAAACTAGTCTACTGAGGGAAGAATAAAGATGCAGTACAGATAGAACAGAAATGTACATTTGAATTCAATCAGTTTGGCAAATAAGGAAAAAGAGAAAATGGCTTAGATGAAATATTTCACAACTGGCAAAAGAATCTGTGGAGACAAATGAAACTTATTATCAACTGAAGAGTTGCAGAAACAACCTATCTAGAGTGGAGGGGAAGAAACAAACCACCAAAACAGAAAATCCGAGAAGAAAAAAAAAATTTAGATTCAGAGTTAAAAAACAAGTAAAATTGTTGGTAGTTTTTAAGTTTGAGTAAATTGAGATACATTAGTCAGCAGTGATAGCAGCACGGCCTTCCAATTTTGACTGCATTAGAGCATTTTCTCTGATACTCAGCTAGCTAATTCAGGATTTTGCATAATACAGATATGATCACTAGAAAGTCTGACACACCTTTATTGATTAGTCTACCCAGAAAGTGACATATCTTGCTTTTATCACAATTTTTCAACAGTATTATGTAAGTTACTATTATATTAATGGCCAAGCAAAACACAGTTACCAATATGGGGTGCCAATGAATGATTTCCTTTTGGCAATTGTAGCCGTTATCTGTGCAGATACTCCAAAATCAGCTATTAAAAAATAATTAAAAAAAAAACAATAGTTAATAATTGATTTGGTGTAATTAACTGTTAATGAACACAAGTTTGGTTTCCCCACTGTAAGAGTTTCTTAAATATTCTGGAAATATTTAACAGAAAATAAATAACAAAAGCAAATAATGGAAACTTGGTATATCTCAGATACCATCAGTCAGCTCCTCTCAGTCACCTGCCAAATATGCAGGCTGCACACAAACATGCCCCTCATCAACACAAGAAAGAACGGGCTAGCACAGAAGTCCTAACAGTTACATTCAGTGTTTTAATACGACAAAATATATCGTATAGTATTATCCAAAAGATTCTTTCAGATAACTTTCAAAGTACATTTCACACTTCAGCGCTCTGGATGGTACATTTTATTAAAAATTTATAAATACCTGTGATTTGATTTTTACCTCCACCTTACAACATCAGAAAGTCGTTTACCTTAGTATTCCAAAACTACTCCAATTACTCCTCAGACACTAACCGGATGATACAGTTAGATATTACCAGCAAGAGAAAAAGAATTCTGATATTCACTAATTCCTTCATGAACTATTACATCATTAAACAAAGACTCCTTCTTAGAGCACATAAAAATCTGTTAATAATACTAAATTGTATTAACTCACCTAATTTTACATGTCCATTATCCGTTAAAAGAATGTTTGCTCCCTTAAAAAAAAGTAAGTATATTTGAATTAAAACATGCAGATTCCGTCAATACTATATTAAAAAAAAGTATGCGAGATCTTATGGCAAATTAGGAGTCAAAGATAAACCAAGGATTGTGCGTTCAAGAAATCTGCAGCCTTACTAAGGAAATGTTTGTGAAATTAGCAAGTTGTCATTCCATTATATAAAGAAACTCAGATATACAGGGTTTCTCATTAATTTTTAGTTTAGTACTCTTTAGCCTATGGCAGTACAGAGTTTCCATTGTACACAAAACTCTCTCAAAAAGCAGAATATGATGATTTGCCTATGCTTATGAATTCTTACTTTTTCTGTTTACACTGACTGAAAGGAAACAGGAACTCTAAAGGTCAATGTGGAAGTAATTTGATTTTCTTTTCATACGTAGAGGCTGGTTTTGTCTTGTTTGAAATCCAAGATAATTGTAACTATAGCCTTAAGGACCTGTTCAAGTGTTTCACAAAACTATTTCCACCCTTACGCAACAGCTAAATTTGAAGAGTTCGCTCTTGTGCAGCTATATGTACCACTCACTCCACTTCAACAATCAGAACTAACCAAAAGCTGGCACCATAAAATTGTGACCTAAAAGTACTGAAAACAAACCTGATCTGAAGACTGAAACCAAGTACAGGTTGAGTTGAGGGAAGGCTGGAGCTGGCTAAACACAGCTCCAATGTCAGCACTGCCTATGAACTAGATGGAAAGGCAGCACAGATGGGCCTCCAAAAAACCCTGGTTTTACAGGTTCTGGCTTTTCCCAGAGAAGGAAGTGTCAGTAAAATGCAGCTTGCTTTGGCAAATGTCCACAAGTACAGTCAGTGAGCCTTATAAATGTAGCTTTGTAAATAGTGTGACAGTCCAGTTAACATGCTCTTGACATTGTTCACCTTTCTAGACTAACAGGACAGATACTCTAAATACTTAACTTAGCTACTGAGGGAAGCAAACATAATTCAACAGTCAGGAGATCTGCAGATGAAGATAGTATTTTTCCATGCTCACAAGAGCAGCTTTTTTAAAAAAAAATAAAAATAATTCTCAACATAAGCAACTGTCAATGTTTTTTTATCAGCACAGTTCTGCTTAGAAACAAGAATATATGCACTGTATATATATACTTACAAGCATCATTCTATAAAGTATAATGAAAAACATTTAATTTTTGTGTCTAAAGTAATCTTTCATTTAGAAATAATTTTTATGACTGCTCAAAACCCAAGTATCCTTCTGCAGTCAATGAGAACAACTTGGAATCAGGCTGCTTTAAGGCATCCACAGATGAAGCTACTATGTACACTGCACCCCTAGTCTGAGAAAAAACAAAGCAAACAAACAAAACCAATCCCCCGCACAATGCAAAAGAATATGATAATTTACTGCCAAATTTCTAGGTGGAAGCCTGCCAAGTTTAAGCTGCAGTCTGAGCAAGGAAGAGTTTGGAAAGGCGAAGAGTAGGCAGTAAAACTCCAGGGACAAAAAGTCAACAGGAAGCATCAGAAGGAAACTATAAAAGAGAACATTAAGAGTCTGAACAAGCCACCTTTGATACAGCTTTGTTGAGATGAAGGTTTAAATAAGTCAGTGTTAAGAGCCTGATTTGTGGTACCCTCTCTAATTTTAGCATGCGAGGGAGGGGACAGAAGCAGTCTCCAAGAACCACGCAGAACAGTAGCCACTGCCCTGCAAGCTGCTCACCAAGAAAAGCAGCAGGAAGCCAAAGCAACAGCTCTGCTCACTAGCTGGTTCAGAGAAGGGTACGTTGAGCTGCTTGAAAAGGCGTGGGAAAGACCAAACCTTCCCTCTCACACAGAGCGTGCCCTTACAGCCATCTGAACAAGTGTTGCTCTGGACACTAGCTGATGCCTACGTTTTACAGCACTGGTCTAAATAAATAGTATGTTTGGCTCCAATTAAAAGAACAAACTACTTCCACGCATGCCGCATGCATTTTAAAGAAAGATTTTTTTTCTTCCCTTGGGCAGAAAATTTTATTTCATGCTAATAGACAGAAAAATCCTACATATTTAAATATATCCCCCAAATTGATACATAACAGTAAAGATCCAACAGAGGTGACATGGCCTATTTTACAAACACCAAAATTCCCTTCAGTTTTTACTTACCTTTATATCTCTGTGCATTTTTCCTTTACTGTGAAGATAATATAGTCCCTGCATAAAATATTTAGATATTAATTTAGTCTAATATTTGTCATTTTATATGCATTTCTTATTTAATAACCAGACATATTTAGGATGCAATTCAATCATCTAAATGACTCACTGACTGAAGAATATTCTTATATTTCGGTGCATCCGAACTACATTTGCAAATTCAATACATGCAGTAGCATAATATGCAAACACAGGATGGACAGAAAGAATACCAGTCACCAATCTATTGTAGGAAAAACATTCCCCAACCAATTTTTACTCTGGACACGGTAATTGTCACCTTTTTAAACTCAGTTATTTACTTTTAATTGCCTAACAGCCTTCTATTCAACAGTCAGATGACTGGATATCTAACGCAGTTATTTCTTATATCATTATACGCTTCAGTTAAGTTTATAAGCATGACAGCAGGCAGGCTTCAGGTCTAACACAGGAGTTCAACTCCAATTCATGGATTTCTGCAGAAGCATTAGGCTGTCTTTCTGGGTCTTGGTAACAGTACCAAAACATTTTAGGACTTAACATGAGTCAGAAACTTAAGTTTAAATTCTGGAAGAATTCTGTGAAACCAAATCCCTGCATGACAAATCATAGAGAACATCACTTCTGACGCTCCAGGCTTATGTCTAAAATTCTCTTCCAGAGGTAAAACAACACATAAACATCTTCCGCGCTCTGCGGTCATGAAACTCCATAAAGACTACATTTTCATTGGAGGTACTCATGGCCAGACAGAATTTTTTTTTTTGCTGGCTCATGCAAGACAGAGTTGACTGCAAAAATAAATTAGGATTGTTTTCAATTACCAGCATTTTCACAGACGGTCCTAAATATAACAACAGGAAAAATGAGGAAACAATTACTTACACGACTCAGTATTTGAGATTTTCAAGTGAACAACATTGTCCAGACAGACAACAGTACCACTGAAGATACAGTTTTGGGGTATTTTTTTGTCAGTTCATGAACACCTGAATGCAACGTACCTGAGATGCTAATCAGTTATGAAATTAAATTCCTTAAATATATTAAAAAAGAAAAAAAACCACCTCATACACTGATGTTTAAACCTGTTTCTCTGGAGGAAATTACTAACAATATGCGGTTGGTCCAATGGTTTTTCAGAGTCCTCAGTGCAGGCATGCATGTTGACCTAAAAATTGGACTCTATTTGCTTCTGGTACAGAGCGTAACTAATCAAAGCAGCTACCTGACTATTGCAACAACTGGCATTAGGTAGAAGAGTCCCGTGTACACTCCTCGCATTTAAGTCTCCAGATGCTACTGGCACAGAAAGTCCAACAACTCACTCATCTTTACACTGCCCTGGAAGAATGTGAGGTCACCGTTTTCAAAACTGAATGGCTGGAGGCAGGTACTTTAAAGGTCATATTTAAAGGACTTGTATTTTCAGAATCAGTCTCACTGATTTCAACCAGAACTGATCGTGAGTGTTTTTTGAAAACAGACCATTTAATGGGCTTCTAAATATGGAGATCGAATGCTAACTTTAGGAATTCAAGTGAAACTGCAAATTCATGAAAACTGATGGCAAAATTAACATTGGACAAATTACTTCAATGGATGGACAGATGGCCTATATTCTCAGACTTTTTACTAGGAAGTGACTGCTGCATTATGAGCTATGGCAAGATATCAGAAACTAAACATATGGTATTTTTTTCAGAGTGCTATAAGCATGTATTCACAGACAACTTTAAAATATACAAAAAATGGGTCCACGGATAACACTTAGAAAATACATACAAAGTAGCAAGTTTCCATCTCACAAGCAAATAACGATTTCATAAATTCCATTCTAGACTAATGAAATACTCCTCCATACTCCAAGAAAATTATGGATTTGATGGATGGATGGACTATTCAGTGGATAAGGAATTGGCTGGATGGCCATATCCAGAGAGTAGTGGTCAATGGCTCAAGGTCTGGATGGACATCAGCCACAAGTGGTGTCTCTCAGGGTTTCTTATTGGGACCAGTACTGTATAATACTTTCATCGACGACGTAGACAGTGGGATCAAGTGCACCCTCAACAAATTTGCAGATGACACCAAGCTGAGCGGTACAGTTGACATGCCTGAGGGACAGGATGCCATTCAGAGGGACCTGGACAGGCTCGAGAAGTGGGGCCAAATGAACCTCATGAGGTTCAACAAGGCTAAATGCAAGGCCCTCAACCTGGGTCAGGGCAAGCCCTAGTATCAATACAGGCTGGGGGATGAAGGGATTGAGAGCAGCCCGGAGGAGAAGGGCTTGGGGCTACTGGTGGAAGAAAATCTGGACGTGAGTCGGCAGTGTGCACTTGCAGCCCAGAAAGCCAACTGTATCCTTGGCTGCATCAAAATAAGCGTGGCCAGTGGGCTGAGGGAGGTGATTCTCCTCCTCCACTCCACTCTTGTGAGACCCCCAACTGGAGTACTGAGCTCAGCTCTGGAGTCCTCAGCACAGGAAAGACATGGACCTGTTGGAGCAGGTCCAGAAGAGGGCCACGAAGATGATCACAGGGATGGAACACCTCTCCTATGATGAAAGGCTGAGAGAGTTGAGGTTCAGCCTGGCGAAGAGAAGGCTCCAGTGAGACCTTACTGCAGCCTTTCAATACTTAAAGGGGCCTTATAAGAAAGATGGGGATAGACTTTTTTGTAGGGCCTGTAGCAAGAGGGGTAATGGTTTTAAATTAAAAGAAGGCAGATTCAGACTAGATACAAGGCAGAAATTTTTTACAATGAGGCTGGTAAAACACTGGAACAGGTTGCCCAGAGACGTGGTAGGCATCCCATCTCTGGACGCATTCAAGGTCAGGTTGGATTGGGCTCTGAGCAAACTGATCTAGCTGAAGAAGTCCCTGCTCATGGCAGAGGATGTTGGACTAGATGAACTTTAAAGGTCTCTTCCAACCCAAACCATTCTGTGATTCTACATGAACAAAAGGGTTTAAAGGTTCAAAACCCAAACCATTCCTAGATGTCACGGAAGATTCCGCTGTAAGGAAAAAGAAGCCATGTCCTTTAAGTCAGAAGTCAGCTATCTCTAGCATAACATAGGGAGGAGATGGTAAGTGGCATGCAAAGGAGCTGGCTCAGAGACAGAGCTATCTTGAGAGAGTGTTTGAGAGGCAGCAGCTCTTAACTGACAGCATTCAACAGATCTGCATTCACTCGAAGCTAAGGATTGTTCTCTCACATGGAAACAGGACATCCACTGAAAAAGCCATTTCTGATTAAGTTTTACTGGTGAACTGAATCTTTGATTTAGGCAAGAAAAATGAAAGCTAGCGTACCCATGAGGAGAGGCTGGTTACCTTAACTTGAACATCTTAAGTACACAAACAATTTTTTTTCCTTATTGGCACAGATCAACTATTGGATATGCAAAACTGAGTCTTTAAATTTTCCTTCAAATTTGCAATAACTAATTTGTACCACAAATATGGATCAATAAATATGCTGCTTCCTCACTTAAAAAAAAAAATAACAGCAGAAAGACTACAACAGTTTTCTTCAAGTGACCCAGGATAATTTGAAGTTATGCAATTATACAAGTCAGTTCAAGGCTATAATACAGGACTTCCTCAAGAGTCTGAGAAAAATGCTAAGCCATACAAACACTGTACTTCCATGGCATCACATGTATTTGTAGCTTTTATTTTTAGCTTTTAATACTTTTCGTTTAAAAGTCAACCACAAGAACCTGAGAATACAGTACCTGTAGTGTTTCTCTGCTAACATAGGCAATCTGCTGTTCTGAAAGTGGTCCAGTCACTGAAACAGAAGCGGAAAAAAAATAAATTTCCTAAATCAGGTACGATACTGCCCATTCTAAACCCATATCTCAATTACTTCCATTCACACTGACAGGATCTTACCCTCGAAGTCTCAAAGAAAATACAGTTAGACTTCCCCCAGACTGCGCATCCCAAAGACCAGAAAACATTTTTTAAACTCAAAAATATCTAGTCCCATTGGAATGGAAACTACTAATTCCATATGTAAATTTGAAAGTAATTACGAGGAAAAAGAAGTAGTGATTTAAGCACAACTATTTCCCCTGCACATTGTGCCTTTCTGTGCAGGGCCGGACTTCCAACCCAGTGAGTGACTCAGAGCTGCAGCAAGCTCTGCACAGTCCCCTTTGAGCCCTAGGAAGTTCCTTCTACCGTTTGCGACTTGCTCTCTCCTTCCCTCTTTACCACTGTCATGCAGCTGGCTCTTCTCAATCCTTTTCTACCACTGAGCTACCAGCATTGTAGCTCCTGGGCCTGCCACACCATGCACCTGCTCCCTCTAAGCAGGCTCAGCAGCTTCCCAAAGAAAGGAGGAGTCTTACTCTTCCCTCCAGGGTCCCACTTCACTCAAGTCTCAAAGGAAAACAAATAAATTCTGAACAAATATGCAAACCAGACACTGAACAGCAAGCAAGGAATGGCCTGTAACTTGTCCCCAGCCACTGGACTTTGATCCTGAAATTAAAGGGTTTTAAGACCATGAGATGCAGTCCTCACTGCAGGCTTCTCAGGTTTTGCAGAGAAAACAAACAGAAAAGTCGGACGGGGTTTCTCAAAGGAAAATGAAGGAGTAGGGAGTTAAAAAAGCAACAAGATTTAAGCACCTAACTGCTTAGCTTCTACAAAACCCACAACCATAACATAAATTAGTATCACGCAATACGTATTTTCAGAATAGGTCTAGATCCATCTTCCCTTTTCTGAAAGAAAAGCTCCAAACCCACGTAAAACTAAACGTACCAGCACACAGAGTACATATTTCTAGGCATGTATATTTACTTTGAGAAATTTAATTCTGATTAACTTAGATTACTTCAGATTACAGAGGCCTATAGTTCAACTGGAGTAAGTTCCTCTTAGAAAGAAAAGGACCTTCCACTGTACCAGCAGCGAAGCCAAAAATCAGCTGCACCAGGAAACCACTCCTGTACAAAATCTGTTCAGGCATTTATGTGCCATGAGCTTTTCCTACTCTACAGGTGTACCACATAACAAAGCCTATTAGACATGATGCTTTTACCAACACTTCCAAAGATGTAAAGGATCAACAAGGCCATGCTCAAATGGCCACACTATAAGCATGGTGTGAACTTGTGAATGGGTGCCTTGTTTTAACTGCACCCAAGTTAAACCTAAAAACCTGTACAAGCTGTTTACACACAAGAGAAGGGTGTGAAGACACTAATATGTAAAATCTTCACAATTTAAGATATGGATGGATTTCCTGTCTGAAAACCATCACCTGAGAACCACAGAGCCACTACTCATGGCACACTCCTTTACTAAGGAAGTCCTAATTCCAATTCAAAAATCCCTCAAAATCGATTTTGTCTCTTGAAAATTAACAATCGACTGATCCTCTCTTCGTGCAATAGATTCACACATACCCCTTGTTTCTTTGACCACTCATTGCACCTAAGCCTAAAGAAAAAATATAGGCCACCTTTGCTTCTCACATCATGCATCCAGCAGAAAAAAAAAAAAAAAAAAAGACTGTCACGGCACCACTGCTGTACAAACATATAAAAGATCACTGTTTACAAAGGACAAGGGCATCCATGCTAATCAATCCATTTATCTAGGTACCTGTAGGCAGTGATGTAGATTATACTACAAAGTTCAAAAGCTCAGAAACAAAACGACTATGAAGTTAATATAGTACATGAGGATTTTTTTTATTTTTACAAAAAATTATTGTCTAATTTTGCAGTCTTTGAAAAGTATTGATGGTGTATGAGCTACTGAAGGAAGGAAATAACTTCTGCTGCTCAAAAAAAACGCACTACAGCTAGTTTTGTTTAAAAAAACAAACAAACCCAACAACTTACGTAAATACCTACGCTAAAATTGATCTTCAATGGATTATTATGGATACTAAATAAAAATTCCTCCCCTCTGATTTCAACACACTGTAATCATCTCCATTTTTGAAAATAGCTTTACTTAGATTTTAAGGAATTACAGTCTTGACGTACCATGATAAATATCCTGCAGAGAGCCACCTCCACAAAACTCCATGCAAATCCATAGCTTGTCTCGTCTAAAAAGTGAGCAAAACCATTTGTTAGCTGTCAGATTTGAAAACCGCACCTCTAAAAGATAAGTCAGAGGACTCAAACATTATAAAGCAGAACATAACAAGGTCTGTACTATGAAAAGTACAGGTCAAATAATGAATATAATTTAATCTTTATGTGATATTTTACTGTTGAAATACCTAAAATATTCCAGGGTTTACTGGAATAACGGAAACAGTATTAGTGACACGTGCGCACCGATTTTTGCTCAAGATGTACTATGAAAATGAAATCTATTTTTACTGAGAGTAGAGAGAAAACAGATGTGGGCTCTTATTTCTTCCTCATTTTCGCTTCTCCACTTTTTTCTGAGCGGAGGAATTAAAACGAACAAACAAACAAGAAACAAGCTCAAAACAAAAAGCCTAGTGATTGATACCTCTCAACCGAATTTCTTTCACAACAAATGGAGTGAAACTCTAGTGCTTTAGTCAAAGCTAGGTAGAGTGGAGCCCCTGCTGTGAGTAAGTGCCTTCTCAGATGAAGTCTTTTCCCTCAAAAATACCTATGGATATTTTCAGTGGCAGGGGTCAGAGGAATCTAAAAAAACTTCTCTCTAAGGGACTCACTGTACCTCCACAAAAGGTGCTTCCCAAGAATAGGCAACAGGCTGAATGATTCAAAGGTGTCTTCTATGACTGACAATAAATTCTATTTTCACTTAGTAATTTTCACCAGTAGGACAGATGTACCATGTGTGGCCGCAGAAAGGTGCTTCGGAGACACCACAAAATCTGAGACTTGCCTAGTCATTCCTGGCCATCAAAATACACAGGAAAAAAATTATATACAACGACCTCAGGGCAGATTGAGACATAGGACAACCAAAGGAACGACCGATGATTGCTCTGCAGCTTGCCGATGACCCTTGGTCTTGGGTTTCCTGCATTCATAAGGCTCTGTCAGAATAGTTGAGATGCTCCTGTGGGCAATGCCAACATTCATGGAAGTGTTTTGCAGGGCAATGGTGTAAGTGCTGAGCTTATCCTCCAAGCTGAGAATTGCAAGTATTTCTCACCAGCAGTTAACAGCTAGAATAGCTGTTGTTCCAAGAAAGAATTATCTTTCTTGGATCTCCTCCCCTTCTATCTCCATAGTGCACATGGTCCTCAAAGCTACATCCGGGCTGCTTCTTCTAGAGGTAGGAAAGGTATTGTTCAGACATTACAGAGGTTTTAAGCAACAGAAGACCCTGCCTATTAACTCCACATGTTTCCAGGGGTTAATTAAAGCATTGCTTGAAATAATATGAAGTCTTTACACTGAAATAACTGATCAAAGTCAGAGACAGAAGCAACGTGACTACCTGTGAAAGAAAACAGAATTAGCAATGGCAGCAGGGGAACATGAGTGAGAAAGAAGCACTGAAGAGACAGACATCTGCAAGTCTCTTGTTTATTTCCCACAACCATGTAGGACTCAGACAGGGACACTTCTGGGGACACTGGGCTCATGAAAGACACTTTCCCATCTGGCTGCATTCTGTTTGATGCCAACAGCAGTAGCAGTGTGGCGGGAGCAGCAAAAAGGCAGGACAAGCTCAGCAGCCTTGGGACAGCAGCAGAGCACCCGAAAAGCAAGTGACAAAAAGTAGATAAGTGCTGTAAATTCACACCTTTGCATACTGGGCATTAACTTCCCAGTGTGGAAAAGCCCTACAGAGAAGGAAAAAAAAAAAAAGAGGATCAAAAGATAAAATTTCATTTCTAATTCGCTATCTAGCCTTTTATTCCTGTGCCTAAGTGCTTTGAGGCAGATGAAGATCCATGTAATCAACAGTGTACATTGTTGTCTGTGTCTGCAGAGAATATGGCAAGCAAAGCAAACAAAACAGAGACAGGATCAACAGCACCATTTAGTGTCTGCAACTTAACACTTGCCTTAACAAAAATCCATAGACAAACTGAAGAAAAGCATAGGGAGCAATATGCTGGTACGTGCCGAGTATAGGGTGATGGTATTTTTCTTATTGTTCTTAGCACTGAAAGATACTTTGGAAACAAAAGGTCAGACAACGATGGGCCTCTTTGACGGGCCTCAAAGACAGCCATTGATTGCCCAGACAAAAGAGAAGCACTACACCAAAGAAAGGGGAGGGGACCAAATAAGAACACAAGAGAGCACCAAAATATTTGCCAAAATGTAAGTCTGGATCTACAAAGGTGTATTTTTATACAAGAGGAAAACTGTTTTTTAAAGAAAAAGAATCCCCAGCCCGAATACAGCATGATGAGAAGAGGCATTATTTCAATCTAAAAATTTTAAAGAAAGTTAAATGCAACAGTCTGTTCACATGAAATCTTAAGTTATCAGAAACAGCTTTTTATTAGCTATACTAAGCAATCTGTTCCCACTATGACTAGTTAAAAGAAGCAGCTGGTCTGACAACTGGATACCATACATTTGTCAGTGCTTCTACAATGCAAATAATCTCACTTTCAGAAAGAAACACAAACAGAATCATCACACTCTGGTTAGAAGTTCATGTTAGAAAAACAGCTCAGGGTAACTTCAACAGCACTGCAGAGCCTCAGCCCCCCCCTCTGCCATTCCTCACTAATTTCTTTCTTCCAAGTTTATCTCTGAAAAGGTTTATAACAACGACTTTCAGGTTTGTGGAGCATGCCAGAATTAATGTCACACATCGAGAAAAACATCTGCCTTCCAAGTATTGCAGGCAGGTACAAATAAAGTAATCGTGTGCAGTGGAAGACATCTTAGCACACATAAAGGTGCTCTTTTCCCAAATAAAGGCAGGCTGCGAGGTTGAGAGGAAGACTAAGGAGGTGCAACATGAGGGTAGGGGACTATGTGGTCCTAGACACATGACTTCCAGAACATGCAACATCCATTTAAGAAGCTTAGTCACAATAACATGGAGCTTCCAAATACTGCCTTTAGGAGATCATAGGATCCCTTGCCAGCTTCACCACCTGACAGTCTGTAAGCTGTTGTCAAACAGACTAGTAACTCCACAAATTCTCAAAAAAATTTTAACATGACTGAGATATGCAGCAGTATTAAGAATTTACTATTTATGCACAAGAAAGCCTGCCAGTACTGCACAGGAAGGAAGTAACACAATTTAGGTTAACCTTCAAATTAACCTTCAACATTCAAAACTGAAGTGCAGAAACTCCTAGTTCGGAATACCAAGTCTCTACATGCACACATGTATGCACGCCTGCACAAAATTGTGCATAATGCAGCTCGCAGACCCGCTCAGCATTCAAAAAGCATTCAGCCTGCCAAGACAAGCACCCTTCAAGGTACGGGAAGACAGAACAGCACGGTTTGTTGATTTTCTCTCCAGACTTTGATCCCTTCCTACACATGTATACACGATAATGCAAGCAGAACACAGTCACACAATCCCAGCCTCACTCAGTGTAGTGTGGACATAGTGTTCATCTCATAGCCTTGCTCTCCTCTTCATTCTTGTACTTCCAGGGCACTTCTACTTAAACTTCGTCTGAAAATACATTTGCTCTTGGAAACTTCCTTCATCCTCCATGCTATTAGTCTGTGAAGTACTAATATGACCAGCTTTTCCACTACAGTCCTTTGAAATTACTGTAAAGCACAGATAATTCAAAACACAGATTCTATTGACTTGAATTGCCTCTGTCGGCATGCAATACTTTTACTTATCAGACAAAAGCTAACAAGATGCTTATACTGAGAAAGATGCAATGAACCTCATCAGTGATAAAACAAGGTTTCAGCGAGCGTCCAGGGCTATTCGGGATGCTGAATACAAGCGGCAGAGAGAAGTAACTCCTCAGGACAGCAGTAGTCAACTGAGCTTCTGCATGAGACCTCTCCTCCTCCAGCATTTACTGCCAGGACTTTCTCTCTTCCCCGACACAGCCTCCAAGTTCTGGCACGCATGACTTGACCAATTGCAGTTTGCTCCAACTATGCAGACATTCAGCATCAAGGTCACCAAGAGCACCACAAAGTGCTCAACACTTGCTATTTCAATATCCTGTCCCAGCTCGCTCCAGAGCAATACAAGGAATGCTCAACGACGACCAGGCAAGCCAGGGAGCATGTGTTAGCTCTTCTGCAGCACTGCAAACGTGCACCAAATCAGACACTGCTGGCTAGAAAAGAAACAATAACTGGGATTTCCCAAGCTCTAGTTGATCTAGAATGAAAGTAAAAGAAACTTAGCGTTTTAGAAGACAACTTTGTCAAATTTAAGAAGATTTTTAAAAGGAAAACATGCACTCCAAATACAAAAGCCAAATTCTGTCATACATTCCTGAAAATGCTTTTTTGGTAATTTTTTGTTGAAAGGCTTTCACATACCAAGGTTTTTCAGGTGAAAATACCACCTATATCTTTTCCCATCCTCAATCCAAAAGCACTTGGCCTCTATTGCTGAAAAGCTTTTGGCTGCAGCAGACAGCCATTACGGAAAATTTCAGCTGGAGCTGCTGAAGTCTAGTATACATGTAAGTAACTCAACTTGGCATCTTCTCATTACAAATAGGGCCTAGAAACCTTCACAATGCATAGAGCTACCACATCCCACCTATATTGTCCCCATGCAGACAGAGATTTGAATATATGAAAGGCAGAAGAAGCCTCTGTCGTAAAGAGTATCATGACTTTTCAGAGCCTTTTAAAAGCTTTTTATTACATGGCATGATATGCCTAAAATTATGACAACATTAGGTTCACAAAATCTAGCATTAAAAGACCTAGTCCTTGAATATCAAATAATTGCTATATCTAGCATAAAACACTTGTCAGGATGTATTAAAAAAAATAATAGCGAATATTATTAGAAACTAGGCATCAATTTTCTCAATATTGAGACTTTGTACAGAGCACGAGTTTACTGTACTTGGAACAAGTAAGCATAATACCTTACAAAAGGAATTATAAAAAAGAATAATGAGGTAGAATAGCTTTGTTGAAATTGTCCTTAAACCTTAACACAGCACTACTACTCTTAAGGAAGGAAAAAAACCCAACATTTTTTTTCCCTCCTTATTTCCCCATAATATTCATTATTGAGTTCTCAGACAATTTAACTTGCCAACACCAGTTAAGTCAGAACATTTCCAAGAACTCTTATCTGTATTATGCAATGTTCATACTTCCCCGAGTTTTGCAAATTTGAGGCATTTTACTCCAACAGATTTTAAAGATACTATATACACAAATTCTTTATTAATACTTGTCACACATCTGCTTAATTTTCCACTTATTGAATTCAAAACTTTTAAATGACAACTCATTTCCTAGGCATTTCCTAGGAGACATGACTGAAAGATTTTGCTACAAGAAATAAGAGATTTTAAGGTAAATAAAAAAACTTAATATACAAGCAGGTAATACTTATTTGGTAAATTGGATTATACTTATTTGGTAAATTATGTTTTGCCTAAGTCACCTTATAGACTTGTCCTTTACAAGGAGATAGAAAGGCATTTTTAAGTGAGCAAAAGAAAAACTGTACCTGAGATAGCTGCCAAAATAAGCAACAATGTTTGGATGTTTACAGTCTTTCATCATAATGATTTCTTGCTGCACAACAGCAAAATCTTCTCCTGAAAAGTAGAAGAATGAGTATTTTCATTGGTGTGGTTCATACCCACATTTCAACTAGACTTCCAGTACATGTTTATAAAATAATCTTCCAGTTTCACAAACATATAAAGCAGCTGTAAACCAATATTTATTAGCAAGGGCTTAGCAATAAGTAACTCTATTCTTAAGAAGTTCCATTCTGGGCAAGATGGACCTCACATCAGCTGTCTGATACCTCTTATGATATTGGCCACAGCTCTTTCTAAAGCCTTCATTTTCCCTCAAGATCACCCTGTGTCCAACCGCACACGCCCTGCCAATAGCCCAGGTTCTTAAAAACCATGACAAAACTTTGCCATTTGCGGCCACATGTTCAACACCCATTAGATACTCTTCCTGAACCAAAAACATTCAATAGGATGCTGCTGCTGAAACTTTTCAGTAAACTTGGTAGGCACAAAAATTATGGACTGTGCATAACTTACATCCAGATAAAACACTAGCATAGATGTGGCATTTATCTGAGTCTTACTATTTGGTACCTCAGTTGTCCCTGTCTTTCTACAACAGCTTCTTACCAGATGTGTACATTGAAAAAATAATGTATAGAATTGAAAATCCAACATGCTTCCCAGAGACAATTTTGGTTTTGGGGTGGAGTGCACGGGTTTTGTAGGTAAGTTAAAGAGAGAAGGTGAGAAAGATATCAACTGTAAGAGAATGATGGCAACGAATATTTGACAACCTTTTTAATTATTTTTTTTAATTCATGTCAAGTGCTCTTTTGCAGTTCAGTATTTTACACTGGGGGTCCTCTGAAATAATTCTTAAGTCATAACAGCAAATTATAGCTAGTCTGGTATGTTATTTCCAAAGAAGTTCTTATGAAGTTTAAGTACTAGGCATACATAGTTCACAAAAAACACCAACTAATTCTTACTAACCTCAAGGACTTCATAGGTGAAACAAGCCTGAACATCTAAAATAATAATTTAATTTCACTAATAATTTAAGAGACTTTATAAGCAATTTGAAATAACAGAAGAATTCAAGGTATGCCAAAATTCTCCTTTTAGTGTACTGCTATAGCACACTTCAGGATAACGCAAAAGAGCTTTTAAACCAGAAGCCAAAACTATTGTCTAAAAAGTTGAATATAGACACTAAGCTCATATTTGTCAGTTGTCACAACCCAAAAATCACTTCTGAAACATGACTGTTAATAAATTTCAAATGCAACAACAAATTCCAACAGAACTGGCCAAGCTATTACCTAGGAAAACATGTTTTAAGTTTCTCCCAATACATTAACATACTCCTCACCTAACCATTTGATTATTTTTAACCAGATATCCGATCTTCACATGTATTTTATTTAACTGAAAGCAAATTTCAAACCACAAGCTGCAAGTTAACATCACAACAGACTGTCGAGTATCCGTGGTGAATTGCTGATGGTTTGCTGTATCCTGACTAGACCTTTACACATGCAAACACTGAAGAGCAAACAAGAAATTATTTTTACATACAACAGGTTTGTCTGTGAAAGGACATTATTTCTCCAGTATTTGACCAGTGTTTTCATTGCATCCAAAATATTAAAGTAGCCTAAGCTTTAGAGTAAGTGCCTAGACATTATTAACCCTTAGTCTTCACACTCTCCCCCAACCTGCAAAACTTGCAAAGAAAACCAGTGCCACAGTTCTGGAACATCTGGAAGCTGTGAGTCAAGCCTTTACTGTCACCGGAATCGACAACTACAGAGAGAAACTAAGCTCACTGAGCAAACAGAGGGTAGCTAAAGTGCATTCTCTGTGCACCACTCAGGTATCCAAAGGCTGCCAAACTTAACTGCAAGATGCCAGCTGTTATCCCCATGAGCACAGCATGAGGGCACGTTACCCCAGCTGCAGCGCATCCCCAGGCTCTGCCCACAGCACAATTCTCTGAGTCCTACTCAGCACAACCCATATAACACTCTTTAACCAAGTCACTTCATGCTCTTCAGAGTGGAAGTAGTCAGCCAAGTAAAAAGTGGCATTATTCTAAAGGTTGACATCATCTGAGTCTGCTGAGCCCTATGGTTCTTTTCCCACTACACCAGTCTCCTTCCCTGTTTCATCTCTACAGTTCTATAAGGAGACACAGCATGTCTGCTCATCTTAGCTGGACTAGTAACTCACATCACGCACAGCCAAATACCTCCAGCAATAGAACTGACATAAAAAGCCCACGCAGCAGAACTAGGCAAGATAATCTGACAACACAACTTTCAATGTGAATAAAAGTAGTGCGAACATACATTTTGGAACTACATAGTAATATACTGTCTGGTCTTGAATTTTTAAATGTGCATGCGTTATATAAACACAACACTTCTAATCACTTCCCGAATTGTAAGAGAAAATATGGAAGAAACTAGTAACTTCTTTTCCTTCTTGCCTGCATAGATCTTAAGGATCAAATCAGGTAGTAGTTGAAATATTACCCTCCCGCTTTAGCCACAACATTAAATCTTGAAATGGAACACCAACAGTTACAAGTTAAACAAAAAGCCTGGACGTTTTACTTCCCAGATTATTCTACTCTTTTTCAACAGGAGCCTTATTAATTGAACAGCACTTGCAGGCTGGTAACTTATTTGTAGGACATATGTGCTTTGTGAAATCGCAATGTAAGCACAGTTCAAGCATAAATCTAGCATACAATGACATCTTCATGAGAATCGCCATGAGAATTTCAGGAAATGTACTCAATTCCCAGACACTAATGCTCACCTATTATAACAGCCTTCCTTCTTTTTATTTCTCCCTCTCTGCTTTTTCCAGGTGAGATCTTTTCTACCTTGCTGTCTTCCTCATTTATTTTGTTCTATACAGGTTTTTGTATCACATGGGTTGAAATTTTAATCAGCTTTCCTCTAACTGTTCTCCAGTTACATTTTTTCCTCACATCTTGTCATGCTTATATTTTTCAGAACTGTGTATTTTGTTCTACACTAAAAGGCAACAACGACCCCTTTTTTCAATAAGTGGACTCAATTGATTTTGTACAATTGTACATGAAAATATTTCAAGCATGAAAATATTTCGTCTCCATGGCCTATTTCAGTTAAGAACCACTTACCTGGTTCTAGTTTTATTACTTTAATTGCTGCTAGCTCACCCGTGTTGACATTTCGAGCCTACAAAAAAAAAAAAAAAAATTAGAGAACAGAACACAGCTTTCCATTCTCAACTCGACATTCTCTGACAACATGAAGTAAAAGAGCAACTGAGATACACCAGGGCCTAAAACAGTGAAGTCACTTACCAGGTTTTGTTTTGTTTTGTTTTTTAAGCAAAAACAACCTCAGGAAGAGACAATAAATTAAAACATCTTATATATTTATGTTTCATGCAAGGTTAGGATTTTTTCTTTTCCAAATACACCACGCATTCATTTTCCATTGGGTTTACAGCATATACTTTCATTAAGTAAGCATTATTATTGAGTTTCGTTACACCCAAACCACTTATTTAAAATAATCCACATCTGTGCTTAATGACAGTGAACCAAACAGTAAGAATTCTGTAGCTAGCATGCTCTTCTCCAGTACACATTTGTAGGAAGAACTGTTCAACAACACCTCTCATTCTGCATTTACTTTCTAACAACAAAGCAAGCTATCTCAAAAAATACTCCACTAGGCAGCTAAGTGGATCTGAAGCTTTAAGCATGCTCAGGAAGCCTTGCACTGTCACGCAACAGTCCTAAATTATGCATGTCCTAACTATGCTGTATTTCCGTATTAAAATCCATCAACAAACGGACCACTGCAAAGCAGTTACAACATACGTGGATCTCACAACAGATAAGCAGGGCCAGGGAGCATCAAGTGCTGTACCCTGCAGCGTATGTGACTGCTTACGGGACGCACATGAGAGCAATGCAATGCTTCCTGCATTCCTACAGCAATTAGACAGCAGGTTAACTGCATTTTGTACAGGGCTCTGTCATGCTAAAGCCTACATTCTACTGAGCAATCAAGCGTGCTGGGTTTACAGGAGGGGCTGCAGAAGTGGCCTCTGTAAGTAGCTGTGAAAAGCTTAATGTGCTGGCCTTATGTGATGGGGGTTTGGCAGCACAGGAGGGGCTGCGGAAATGGCCCCTGTAAGGAGCTGTGAAACACTTCCCCAGCTCCAAAACTGATCAGACCAGACTCTGGCCAGGTCAGGCCTTCCCCATCCCCTCAGATCAGCCAGTCAGCGTCTCTGCAAATGTTCTACTTAAGATGGGGATAAGGCAGCCCAAACGGAGGCTGGACCTACACTCAAGAGAGAGGGGAGGCGGGGCCTGGCCGCAGGCCTCCCGGGTGAGTGGCTGCCCATGCTGGGCCACTGCTAATCAACTGGAGATGGCTGCAGTGGCACGGCTTGGAGAGCTCCAAAGTGCCCTGCTCCCAGGGCACCTGCTGGGAGGAGTTCTTCTTGCCAGGACTGCTGAGGTTTGTCAAAAGGACTGAGACCTGAAAGAAATGGCCACACAGATACCAAGGACAGTGAAGATGGAACAGGAGGAGGTGCCGGAGCTGAGATTCCCCTGCAGCCCACGGTGAGACAGCAGGTGGCACCCCTGCAGCCCGTGGAGATTAATGATGGAGCAGAGATCCACCCGCAGCCCGTGGAGAACCCCACAATGGAGCAGAAATGCCTGTGCCTGAAGGAGGTCGTAGAGAATGGTCTCTGTGAACTGCTGGAGACTGATGACGAGGCAGAGAGGCATCTGAAGCCTGTGGAGAACCCCATGCCAGACTGGGTGGCAGCTCCCTAAGAAGCTGTGACTGGGGAAGAAGCCCGTGCTGGAGCAATCTGATGGGTAAGGATTGCATCCTGTGGGAAGGATGGAGGAGTCTGTGAGAAGGGGATCCACTGGGCAGGGGAAAAGATTGTAAGGAGTCCTCCTCCTTTAAGAAAGGAGTGGCAGAAACAAGGCGTGATGAACTGACCTGCAATCTCCCATTCCACACTCCCCTTCGCCACTGGGGGAGGTAGAGCAAGCAAGAAGGGAGGGATGGGAGGGAAGATGTTTTTGAGATCTGGCTTTGTTTCTTGTTATCTTCTCTGAAGAAGGCATCAACATTTAAATTGATTTGTCACCTGAGCTGAGTCTGTTTTGGCCATGGTTGGTGGGTGATCCCTCTCTGTTCTCATCTTGACCCTCAGGCCTTTTGTTACATTCTTCTCCTCTGCACAGCACTGAGGAGGAGGAGTGAGAGAGGGATTTCATGGTAGCTTAGCTGCCAGCTGGGCTAAACCACAACATCAAGGAAGCTAAATTTTTAAAAAGCCTTTAAGAAGCAACATAAATTATGATAATGATTTCTCTTCTAGAACTGTTGCATTCGACTACTAATGGAAAACTAAGGAGCCATTTGCCCAGTGCTTTCAGGATACTTCCACACCCCCGGACCCAGCTATGGGGAGAGGGCAGCAAAGCTGCACCTCAGCGCCAAAGCAGCAGCTTCTGAAGGATGCTCAGCTACAGCCTCTCCTTTCCCCAGGGTAGTCTCAATACCCAGAGCTGTACTGTGCTAGACCACCGCTGCACTGAATCCCATGCCCACTCTACCCTCTACACAGGGCACAGAAGGCGAGACCCGTCCTGCTCTTGCTTTTCCCTTACCCACTTTCAAATCAAAAAAAGGCCAGAAGTACAGAACTTAAAGATACAGATAGGTGTCCACCTTTTAAGCTGCTAATGGTCTCATTTAAGTCACTCCAGGAGCTCAAGGGCTCACACCTTTTATTGATTGGCCATGAGACTCACCAAACACTAAGGTATTGCTTCTTAACATAGTACCTTGAGCAGTAGTACCTTAAGCGCTGGCTGCGGAATCACAAGTGGAAGAGAAAAAAAGCCCTAAGACTATAAAAAAATAGCCAGCAGTAAAGTCTGGAAATGAATGCATTTGGTATTCCTGTGTCCAGAGGTCTAACCAGGTCATTCCCAGAACACCTGATCTCAAATCTCTCACTGCTTCTTGGTGTGGCAAAGCTCTTCTGCAATGCTGGGCATACTGGCATTCACAAATAATTTGCAGGCAGATGGTTACAGATAGATCCTGAGACCAGTGGGAATCCTATAAAGTCAAGGAGTAGTCCAAACTTGATAGATAGTGGAAAAAACTGTCAAAAATCCCAAATTTTCTCTGGCAGTGTTCCCTGTAAGTCATTATTTGCCCACCCCACCAATGGCAGCAGTGTCTCCACTCATCGCTGTATGGTGGATCAAAGACACAAAGACATTAAGAACAACAAAAATAGGAGTTCCTTTTATCTGTACCAGAGAATGAAGGCAACACATGAGAAAGTGGCACCACTGAAGCATGAGCTAGGATTTTTATTCCTTATTTTTTTTCCCAACACACTCTTTTCACAGTGAGAAACAAACACAGTGGCAAGATGCTAATGAATCAAAGGTCAACATTTTTTTACCTCCAAGATTAACAAGAAAAATTACTGAAGCTTTAATGAAGACCTGAGATCATCAGAGAGTCTTGTCAATACTTAAAGACATGCTTTGGGGCAACTTGTCTCTCATTGATTACCTTACTAGTACAGCTGTAGCAGACACAAGGGAGATCCTGAAATTATGCATCCTGCACGCCACTGGGATGTGCAAGCCAAGCAGGAAAAATTTCACAGGCTTCAGGGACATAGGTAGTCCAACAAAGAGAGTTGTGGGTTTTTTTTTTTATTTATTTTTGACAATGCTGTGTCCAGCTGTCAGGAATTTGTTTCTCTGACTACGGCTCCACAGGTCACTCTGCTCTGCAGACTGCTATGGCAACTGAAGCAACATAGAAGGTGTGTAGGAGCTAATGACAGTTTTGGAACAAATCTGATTAAAACATATGAAGATACTCATCACAAAGTCTTACGTGATGATGCCAAAAACCATCACATTCCTACATGAATTGTTGAACAAAATGCACATGAGCAATTTCTAGACAAGTTGCTACTCTTCATGGGACAACTGGTCCCAGGGCACAGACAGGTTTCCTGACCCAGATTAGCTCCACTCTTCAGGAAAACACATCTAACTATCGGCTTCCCAACCCTCTCGCTTCCAAGCCCTATAGTCCTCCCCTTCAGACTCTCTCGAACCCACAGGACTGCCCAAGGAGTTGATTCAGCTCTCCGAGCCAGCAAAAACCCACTTGCCTCTCCTTTTTTGGCGAGTTTTCTGCCAGGTCAGCTAACCGTGCCAGCCGGGGATCATGCTGAGTGCCAGAGATAAACACGAGGTAAGCAGCAAGACAGCCAGGAGCAGGGTAGGGAATGGCCCCTCTCAGGCAACAGCAAGCTCTTACATCAGTTCAGCCCATCCTATGAAGTCACAGCCGTAATTAACAGGAATTGAACTACTAACAATTATGCTAAAAATAATTAGGTTCCACATTCTGGTGGCAGGTGTGATACCAAAACATGACAGCTACAATTTTAGAAAGCAACGCTTTGATAAAGGTGATGTTAAACAAAAAGATCTGAAATGAAGGCAAACAAAAATCCCTAAGCAAGGCACGGATTCTTGGTTAAGGAACCACGGTCACAGAAACTAGGCCCTGTAGTAGTCAATCAGCACAGTAAAAACAGGAAGGCAAAACATCCACTCCTCTCTGCCTGACTGACAAGCTTCAAAAGATGATTAAAGTTAAAACAGACAGCCTTCAAAACACAGACATTTACTCTTAGTGAAGTCAAAAGAAGTTTCAACAGCTGTAAGGTCAATCCAGAAAAGAAGGAAGACCAGAACACCTAACAAACAGCACACAGATAAAAGGCACGGTTTCAATATTTCAGAAGCAGCAAAGCTGTAGAACTACTGATGCCTTACTGGATCACCTCAGTAAAGAGGAGCAAGGGCAGGCACACAGAGAAGAGATCTGCGTGTAGGACTCTGCAAAACAGGAGACTCCTCAGGTTCATCTGTTCTGGACACATTCTCTTCCAGCAACACACAGGAGTGCTATCAGAAACCAGAGACTCAAACCTAGTTGACAGCAGAAAGCAGGAACAGTCACCAACTGTTGCCAGAGATACCCACAGAATCATGCTGAGATACATGACTTCCCTCACCAAAACCAATGCCCATGCAAAGGGCTGGGGAAGAGAAAATCAGGCATTTTCTTTCTTTAAAATG